GCTAAAGGAATAGACTCTAAGTAGGACTTCCAGTATTGAGTCCCCAAACCACACCACAGAACCACGCCACTGAGAAAGCTGCCACGTCAGGAAGGTGTAGCCACAGCTGCTGGTTCCTGGACCGCTTCCATCCACTCCTCAAAACAGGCACCGGCCTCTTGCCCTGTTCAACTCCCCCCATCATTCAATGCCAAGTCAGAGTCCGACCTGAGTTCAGCTGACTGGCAGAACCTAAACACGTCTAGGTCCCCATCTGCCAGGGAGTCTGGGAAATGTAGGTTTAGTTTTCAGCCTCTGCAGTACAGGAAGGCAAGTGGGGCTGGAGAAGGCATTGAGTAAATCAGTTCACTACTGCTGGTGAGCTTTTGCTGTGTGCTCATGAAACGTGTCCAAGTCTGATCCTGGATTGTGCAGGGATCGGAGGGATGTGTGCAGTTGTGCTTTACTGAGAAGATTCTGCAAGTCAGGGAATAAGGCCGACACCTGCTGAGGGCATGACTATATTCGTGAAGAGAGTTTGCTCCCTGGAACCACAGCATTAACCACACCTTGGCTATGGTGGACATCTATCATATTCACAGCTGTCCATCACCTTTTGAGTCGTTTTTTCCATATTTGGGGATATCTGCAGGTAATGAGCCCCATCTTCCCAGTATTAAAGTCAGAATTCAAATTTCCAGACTCCCTTGCAGCTAGGATTCACTATGTGATCTGGGCTCTGACTCTCTGATGTTCTCCCCCCTCCACTTGAGGTTTGATTCAGAAATGGGTAGTATGAAAATGTGGGCAGTGCCTGGAGCTTCCATTTCAGCCGATCTGGATGACAGCAGAGGCCTCAGCTTTCAGAGGTGGTGGTGAGGTCTGGTTCCCAACTCAGAAGTGGCAGAGGTGGTGGCAGGAGGGGCTGCTGTAAAGTTGAGGTCCTGCTCTCCAGAGCCTGGTAGCAGCAGCCTCAGTAATACCAGCTTCCCCCCTTGGGATGATGCTACCACACAGTTTAGGGCATCATTCTGGAAAGTTTACCTCGGTCCTGTTTCTCAGCCCTCCAAATGATTCTTTATTCTTCAGGGTAAGATCTCCTGTCTGTAATCCCCAGCAAGAGTGGATTCTGTTGTCAGCAACTCAGAACCCACCTGATGTGCTGGGTGAGCCAGGAACACCTGACTCTAAATCCGTGCCTCAGTACCATGCTGCCATCTGAGCCATTCCTGCAGCACAGAGTGTCTGCCTGGGCCTCATCCCCTATTTCCTTCTTAAGTCAGGTGCAGAGAGGGATGGAAGGCAAGTGCTCTTCTCTGACTCCCACCATCCCAGGAGCTTCTAACAGAACAAGAATGCTCTTTTTCATTGAAGTTTTATAACCAACACTTTGTGCAGGGCAGGTGTTCAGCAAATGTTTGATGAACGAATAGGCGAGTATACTATAAAGTTATACCCAACTGGGTCCATAATCCAGACTTGCACTGTCTATCACAGTACCCACTAGCCAGACATGCCTACTGACCACTTAAAATGTGGCTAGTGCCACTGAGGAACTGAATTTTTATTTTATTTCAATTGATTGAAATTTTTTAATTCATACCTCATTTCATTTTTGGAAAACTTTCAGCTTGCTTAACTTGTGTATGTAAATGTACCTTTTCAGCTATAAATTTTATGAAAGCTAAGTACAGATCAAATATTTCCAGTGAAAATTTAGCACATTTTTGATACAAATCGAGATGTGCTGTAATTGTAAAATACACACCAGATTCCAAATGCTTTATGAAAAAAGAATGTAAAATATGCTATTAATAAGTTTTACATTGATTACATGTGGAAATAATATTCTGGATATATTAGGTTCAGCAAAATATATTATAACCTGACTTCACCTGTTTCTTTTTACATTTTTTGATGTGACTACTAGAAACTGTAGGCTTCACTATGTGGCTTTCACTGTATTCTGATGGACAGCTTGGATCTGACATTGGCATGAATGTCACTCGCAGGCAGATGAGGTCCCAAGGACATGTGTTACCTCTGGGCACTGGAGCCTCTAACCTTGCAGACCTGGACACAACCTTTACTGTTCATTCTCCTCCTGGCTCTAAACACAACAGGTGGAAGTTTAGGCATGGGCTTCTGCAACATGCATAAGAGAAGATGCATAAAGACACAAATTTGGTGTCTTTAGGGACCAGGGGGTAACCTACTGGGGAAAGGCCTGGAGGTAAGGCCACAAGCAGTGACCAATTGCTCTATTTAAAGGCAATACACAAAGAAAACTCCCCAAGTGGATGTTCCCTGGATCATCTGTGTGCCATCTCTACACAGGCCTATAAGATCAAAAGAGGCCCTTGGAGAGCCTTGAACATGGTCCCTTCATCCCAAAGTAGAGACTGAAGCCAGGAGGGAAGAGCCAGGCTAATTAGCACTAGAGTCAGGGCTGACCACTAAGTGTCCCAATGCCCCCGGCACATGCCATCTCTTGGCTTTAGGTGCTGGCAAATGTGTGCCAATCAGGTTTGATTTGAGAAAGGAAAGATCCACCTTACAGGCATCAGGGAGCTTGCCACCTACCTCAAGATATCCAAGATTTCCTTTCCCTGCACTGTGAGCCCATTCTGATGGATTAAGGTGGGGGCCAAAAGGTAGTCCCTCCCATCCTAGAACCAGCCTTCCTCCATGGCCTTTTTTGGCTGCGTTGGGTCTTCGCTGCTGCACGCGGGCTTTCTCTAGTTGCAGCGAGCAGGGGCTACTCTTCGTTGCGGTGTGCAGGTTTCTCACTGCAGTGGCTTCTCTTGTTGCAGAGCATGGGGTCTAGGCGCATGGGCTTCAGAAGTTGTGGCACGCGGGCTCAGTAGTTGTGGCGCACAGGCTAGTTGCTCCACGGCATGTGGGATCTTCCCAGACCGGGGATCGAACCCATGTCCCCTACGTGGGCAGGCAGATTCTTAACCACTGCGCCACTAGGGAAGTCCCTCCTCCATGGCTTTTATTTACAATTCCAAAAGACTTGAAACTCTTAAAGTGATTTGTTCCAGGGTAGGGAGTAACACAAAATAAAGATGACTCTCGCTGGCATGGGAAGCAAGGAAGAGACAATAGGAGAAAAGGGGAAAACTGTACCAGACTCCAGGGGAGAAAGATGCTCTTAGTAGTTCAATCCTGAGCCAAATGAAGAGGGAGAAGGCCGAGGTACGAGCCTGGAGTGACTGGCAGCCCCGATGCGGTGGGAGGACTAACAGAGAATGGATGTGGTTAGGGGAAGAGGGGGAGGGGGAGAGGGCCCCACCCTGAAGGCTTGCTTCTAACAGAAAGGGAAGAAAGCCTCCCTGATTTGCCACGCTGGAAGCACAATCTACAAAATGCTTCTCTCCAGCCGGCCCCCATCGGTACAATTTTACCACATAAAACCATTCATACCCACATTCAAATTTATCAGTCTGAGCAAAATACAGCTAGTAACAAAGAAAGGCGGTTTTCATATTTTATTACACAATGTTGTTCATCATAGAAAAAGCTTTAATATTTTTTAATTAAATACAGAAGAAATTGTTAGTGTTGCCAGAGAGATCATTTGTCTGCCCTTGAAAAAATTAACAACACCTGTTTGCAAACAAAAGGATTGCTTAAATTGAGTCAAATCCTTTGTTCTCTTTTCAGGACCCAGCCTACTGATTTATTTTCTATACAGTGTCTAACAGGCAGTAGGTGCTGAATAAAGAATAGACTGAATGGGATGTTCTTTAATCCCTATCCTCTGACCCTATTTCCTGACCCTAAAGTGGATCTTGACTCATGGGGTAAAATCCCCACCCATCCATTCCTAGGGTAGACCTGTGTCTTTCAATAGCCTTTGATACTTAACCATGGTTTAGAGACACTTACCTGAGGGAAATGACTGAGGATTTCAGAGAAAGAAAGAAACACACAAGGGCAGGTACAGCAAGTAGGTAGAGACAAAAAGATGCTAAGACCAGTAGTAAAAGAGAGACAGATTCAGGGATGGAGCCACTGCAGGGGCCAGCGACAGCAAAATGAAGTCAGAGAGACTTAAAACTCACACAGTTCAAGATAAAGAGATTAAAAGGTTGGACAACAATAATAATCTTGAAGTTTCTTTTCAGCTTTGATGTTTTATGACAGACACAATGGCACAGAGAGAGGAAGACAAGGCAAGGATGGGAGGATAAAGAGACAAAGGAAGTCAAAGGAGACAGGTGGACAGCCAGCTATGACTGTCCATCTTTAGATCTGGCCTTGAACCCCTGTCCTGCTCTCACCTCACACCCAGCACGCTGGGCTCCTTGATGACTCAGCACCCCATGCTCACCGGGCTCCTACTGTAAGTCCAGTCACATCCCTGCCTTCCCCCACCTTAAGATCTCACTGTTGGTAAATCATTTCTCCTACATCCTCCATGATGGTTTCTCACTGCTCCAGCCCATACTCAGCTCCCTCCCTTCCCAACTCCTAATGCAGGTACAATTCATACCACATCCACATCCCCTAACCACAGGGCATGTGCTGCTGGTTTAGCGTTTGTCCTCAGCTCCTACGAGGGCACCTTGGTTCCCACAAGAGAACTGTGGTTTCCACAAGGCTCCAAACCCGACCTCATATATTCCAGGAGTCCCCATGATACCCAGTCCAGTGCCAGGTATCACTGAGTGCTCAGTGAATACTTGTGGACTAACCAGTCCCCAAGGAGGGCCAACAGGGCAGCCTAACAGCCCGTTGGTCTATTAAATAGCTTCCCGGAGGCTGGCCACGCTGGGGCCATCTCCTGGGCTCCTGCGCCCCCTGCCGTCCAGGAAGGGATCTGCACGCAGGACGACGTGGGCCGAAAGGGTGGTCCTGACCCGAGGAGGCGTCTGGACTCGCGGTGGCCCCAGGCACCGTCCAAGGGTCCTGATGAGGTCGGTGGGCACAGCCAGGAACTGCAGCTGTTTTCTTCCTAGGTGTAGGGGTACATCCCGGTAGACAGAGCTCCACCCTGCCCCATAGCGGGGCTCTCAGAGCTTCTCATCCAGCTCCAGGCCCTGGTTCTCCTGGGTGACCCAGCAGACCCGGGGTGGGCTGCCGCTTTGCGTCCCCTTCAGATAGTTCTGGATGACGGAGGCGCAGTCCAGCCGCTCCATGATGGTCATGAGGTAGTGCAGCTCCTGCAGGCTGCCGTTCTGCTCCTCAAACAGCTCCAGGATGGCTGCCGCGGGGCTGCGCTGGCAGGACAGGAACCTGGCCGGGAGCGTGCGGGGAGGAGGTGAGTGGGGGGATGGGGCTCTGCAGGGAGATCCACGCCCTCCCCCAGCTCCGGTCCTCATCCTGCTCTTAACTGCCTTCCAGGGCACTCGGGATGGTGGGAGGGCCCAGGACTTGAAATCGGAGATAGCCCTGGCTCAAAGCCTACTCCGCTCTAGGCCTCAGTTTCCTCTTTTTACACGAGGGCTTGGGTGAGAGGAACTCTAAGGTCACTTCCAGCTCTGATGTTCTGTATTTGCCTTCTCAACCCCCACCCCCAGCCCAAACACACTCTCCCCTTCCCCCCCATCCCAGGCCCCATCCTGCCCACCACTAAGGAAACAGTTGCTCCCAGGCAGGACCCTCCCCTGCTCAAAAACCTTCCAGAGTCTCTTTCACCTACTAACCAAGCCCCCTCCCCTGACTTTCTGGCTTACCCACCACTTGGCCTTGCCCTGTTTTATCTGACCTCTTCTCCCTGCTCCCATCGTGAAGCTTCCTTCTCACCTTAAACACACCAGCCCCACCACCTCCTCTGCTCCTCCCCTGAAACGGGAAGGTGGATCCCCTACTTCCCCAACACCTGTTTCTGAAGCCCTCATTCCCGCCTCCCAGGTGGAGGAGACCATTCTGCATCCCTCAGTTCAGATTTCTGGTCACAGCTCCCACAAGTCTTTATTACTCTTTTTTATTTAATTGAGATATATAGTTGACCCTTGAACAACACCACTTTGACCTATGTGGCTCCACTTATATGCAGAGGTTTTCAACAGTAAATACTACAGTGCTACACGGTCCCTGGTTGGTTGAATCTGTGGAGGCAGAACTGTGGATACGGAGGGCCGACTATAAGTTATACTACGATGTTCGACTGCATGGAGGGTCACACCTCTAACTCCCACATTGTTCAGGGGTCAACTGTAATTGACATAAGTCTTCATTATTCTTGCTTCAGCCATTTCGTGTCTCTGTTTTCAACTTGCTATGCAATATGGGATACATACAGTAAGGTCAAAGGAGCACTTGCCTTGATTTTTTTTAAGCTCTCAGTATCCCTTACTAGAGGGTGACCTCCTCGGTTCTGGGACCATATCTCATTCATCCTGTATCCCGATGCTTAGCATAGTTTTTCCAGGACTTAGAAGGTACTTGATAAAGGTTTAATAAATGGGTGATTTTAAAATCTACCCTAATTTCCAGATCCAACTCTAGTCCCATCTCCTGGGCGAAGTCTTCCCTGACCACCCGTCATCATCCGGGTGCTGAGGCTTAGCTCAGAATTGGTTTACTGATCTCTCTTGAGACCATGGCTGCGCTGTCCCCACTAATGCCAGGCACTCAGCTACATGCTTTATACACATTATCCTATAGTCTGCCGTTCTGCCCCTCAGGGCACAGCATGTCAAGCACTCAGTATGTACTAATGACTTACATGTCAACCGATCCATTTTTGAATATTTATTGAACCAATATTTATGTATTGAACACTAGCCATGAGCCAGGCATCATTCTAGGTACCAAGAACACAGTGATAAGATAGAAAGATGTCCAAAGAAGTCCCTTTCGCTTCCCCTGCTCCTCTCCCCTGGACTTTTCCTCTCTCACCTGCCGTGTCCTCTCCTCTTTGTAGCCATGAGAAGGAGGACTGCTTGGCCCAAACCAATGAGATCATTGTCAATGAAATCAACCCTGTTCTGAGAAATAGGGTGGAGAGTAGCCGCTCCCTGACTTTTAAAGTCACTCTTTCGTGAATGGTCCAGTCTCCAAGGGGTCCTGAGAACACCCACCCCAGTCCACCCTCCCCCCCACCCGTGCACACCTCATCCCTCTTACCGGATTTTCATACCACAGAGCCCCAGGTGGGAGGCCAGTCGTCGCCAGTCATTGCCAGTGATGCTGTTTGGCTCCAACAACATCTGCAACCGCTCAAAGAGCTCTGGGGGCAGCCTGAGGCAGGGGGGAAGGGTGTCCTTGGAGGGGAGGATCAAGAGACCCAGCCTGGTTCCACAGACACCTCAATGCCATGCTCGCCCTGCAAGCCCAGGGGCAGGAATCCCAAACATCCCCCGGGGAAGCAGCTCAAGCAACCACCACCTCACCTGTTGCACGGGGGTGGCTGGGTCACAGCGGGTGGCGCTGCCCAGGATTCTTCCTCCGATGCCTGGAATCTGAGGATTTCCATGTACTTGGTCTCCAAGCCCTGAGCCAACAGAGGGGCAGGGAACACACTTAGGGATCATGAGACACCCCTCTGAACAAGAAGCTGGGGCACCCATCTCCATGCCTCGTGTCTCTCCTTCAGCCTGTCACCGGAGACACTTAACCGGGAGACACAGCCCCACCCCAGTCAACACCCTCTACCCTCTGCTTCCCCAATCCCACAGCCTTCAGCCTTAAGTTTGCTCAGAGCTCTTTGGGACCTGGGACATGAAGACCAAACAAGGTACATCCTAAGACACCAGAAGTCCTGGGTGGGGTCAAGGGCAGGGGAGGTCATCTAATAATAGAGACACTGAACTTGGGCATACGTGCCCCCTTCCTCCATTCCTCCTCTCCTTGGTTCCTCCTCCCCAAGTGACACCCCGAGGGGTATCTGCCTACTCTCCAGTAAGATGCCACATGGTTCCCCAAAGACTCTCCGATCCTGATTTCTTCATGTCTTCCCTCGGGAGAGCGGGATCTCTAACTCCCATCCCACCTACTCAAGACCCCCTTCCTGAGTCACTCTCCGCCTGAAGATACACAGCACCATCTCTGAGATGTAGACAATCTGTCCAGAAAGAAACCGCTTCTCTTTGATGCCCAAGTTCCTCCAGGTTGGAAGAAAGGGTTCATGTAGGGTTTGGTTCTTTTACCCTCCTGCTAGATTCATCCAGGGATAGACAGGAGAGTCAGAGATGGAGGGTAACTTGGAGGCCAGGCAGTCCCTGCCCCTGGAAGAATGCCCTCTTCACCTGCTTGATTATGTGATTAGAGCCATACTTCCTAGGCACCAGACCGTCGCCCACTTTGCCCAGGACCCCCCCAGGCCCTGCCCTTCCTCTGCCCCCCGGCTCCAACTCACATCCTGGAAGGTGTGCATGGTGACAATGATCTCATTGGTCAGTGCTGAGCAGTCCTCGTTCTCATTGGCTACAAAAAGGAGACGTAGCAGGTGAGAGAGGAAAAGGCCCAGGAGAAGACAGCAGGAGAGCAAAAGGGACTCCAATGTAAGGCTTTGGAAATCTGAAGCAGCTGCGTAGCCCCCCATCTTTCTCTCTGCAGAGATCTGCTGTGGCCCCTAACCTTTAAGAGAGGGTCTGCAGGCATGGCCGAATGAGGAGCTGTAGGGCTCCAGGGTGACCAGGAGGGGAGAGGAGAGGGCAGGAGGTAGACACGGGGCTCCTGGGCTACCTGCTTTTCTCCGGAAGCAGAAGGAGCGGAAGGGGCACTTTCCATGCCAGATGTGCAGATGGGGAACCAGCTGGCAACTGCTGTCATCCACGTTCTCCCAACCTGGGGAGGGGGCAGAGAGACAGAGGGCCTCAAGAGGGGAGACTTCCACAAGGGCTTAAGAAGGTCACCCTGTGGCAGGCACTGTGCAGGGCGCTGAGGGGAGGGATGGGGAGGGAGCAAAGGCAGGTGGGTGACTCAAGTGGATGGGAGGCCCCAGAGCCTGGGTGGGGACCCTGGGAGCGGTCTTACTTTTACCTGCACACAGACTCCTCCCCCCACCTCTCCACCCTCCCCTTCACCCCCCTCCCTCCCGTCCACTAGCCCAGATGCAGCCACGCATGCGCCCCTGTCCGACACCCCACAAACACCCTTAGCCCCACTGTCAATTCCCGCAGCCGACCCACAAAAGAACGAGGGAAGAGAAGACTGGGCCTCCCCCTCTGACACCCGCTCCATCCAGGTGGGACAAGAGAAGCCTCCCGCTCCCTCCCTGCCCCTGCGGGTGCAATGCCTCTCCTCTCACCACCCACCTGACTCGTCTGGCCTCCCACGGAAGGACCGGGGCTCCGTGGGCAGCAGAGGGAGGAAGTGGGAAAGCCGGGGTCTCCAAGAGGCAGCAGCAAGAGCCAGAAGCCCCCCTTGAAGCTGCTGACCGCCCAGGAATCTCGAAAAGAAACTCAAGGCCCCAGGTTTCCACCGCAGGGGAGGCGCAGACCCTTCCCTCCAACGGGCTCCCCGACGCGCCGTCGCCTGGCCCTGTCCCCCTCACCCTCGGAGATGTATTTGAGTTTCAGGCACTGGTCCCCTCGGGCCCCGGTGAAGTCGAAGAGCTGGCAGGGCCCACGCAGGCGCCCGCCGTGCGGCTGCTCGTTGGTCACAGCCCACCGCAGGGCACAGGGCGTGTTGTTCAGGAAGTAGACGCGCAGCTGCAGGTGAGACTGCCCGGGGGCCAGCGGGGAGCAGAACACGGCCAGCTGCAGCCACTTCCGGGCCTCCCTGCGCACAGCGGCCTCCAGCACACAGGTGTAGAGGCTGCGGGGAGAGACGGTGGCAGGGAGCGTGCACAGTGGAGCAAGGGAGGCTGGGAGACCAGCCCACCTGCCCCCCAGCTCCCACCGCACCAGGGGCCTCTGTGCGGGCTCCCAAGGAGGCGAGGAGGACATTCCAGGGCACGTAGGGCAGAACTGGGGTGGAGGGGTCAGCTAGGGGGAAGGAACGTGAGTCATGGCACAGGGACTGTCACTGGGTCCGGAGAAGAGCCAGCGTGGGAAGGAAAGACGCTGGGCTCAGGGCCACCATGCATGGCCCTGCTCTGGTCAGTGGGTGGCAAGGAGACTGGGAGGCAGAGGGACCTAAGACCCTAGAGAGACAGAGCTAAGGACAGGCGTGCCATGGGCTAGAGTCTCAGAGGACTGGAGGGGCAAAGTGCCCTAGACAGCTTGGGGACAGTCCTGAACTGGGGCACAGGGAAGAGACAGACAATTTTAGAGACAGAGGTGGAGATGGGACAGGCCCCATCTAGACACAGGACCAGGGTTGGGCCAGACCCTTCTTGACAGGCAGAGGGACCACGGTGGGACACACGGTCCTGGATGGGGTTGGAGCAAGATAAGCTGCCATAGGCACCAGTACAGAGGGACTGGGGAAGGACAGGGGGATATGGGGTTTGCCGGCCATCTTGGACAGATAAAGGGGCAGTCCCCTACAGAGAGGTGAGGGTCAGGCAGACAGAGAAAGGGGGCAGGAAGTACAGGCTGACGGGCTGGTGCCTACCTGAAGTGGGAGAGGTGGATGCGACATTCATCCCGGGAGATGTGGTCTCCCGACCGCCCCAGTGGCTTCCAGGCCTTGGCATCCAGCAGGGTCGTGTTGCTGCTGTAGGTACGGGCTTGGCTGGGCTGCTGGGCACAGTGCTTGAAGGTGAGGGTGCAGGGCTTCAGGAAGGAGGCCCCATGGGGACCACACGCCACCACGGGGCTCACCAGCCCCTGGGCTCGGGACAGTGACGGGGCGTCTGACAGATCCCACACCAGAATCAGTGCCACCCGCTCCTGGCGGCCCACAGACACAGCACCTGGGGAGGGGGAGAGCTGAGATGGGCCCAGCAGGCAGGCACAGCCCTGCGGCAGAGGAGGCCAGGCCAGAGTGGGAGAGGAGGTGGGGCGGGAGCCCAGGAGCGGGCGTGCAGCAGGGCACGTGGAGAGGCAGTGTGGAAGGAGAACAAGGTGACTGTGACTGACTTGGGATGTGACCCTGAGCAAGTCTCCCCCTCCTCCAAGGGCTGCTGCCAGCTCACTCAGGGCCTTGTGTGAATTTGCAAAAGGTGCTCTTCCTCCAGACATTTTACTTCCCTTTATGGGAGAATCGTCATAACACACTGTTCACTAAAACAAGGCCCTTTACCTCCACCTGCCACAAAACTGTCATAAAAAATATGTAATATATCCATCTTTGGAGTCAAGAACGTCATACTAAACATATAAGCAATTTTCAAAATTATGAAGATGTCTCTGAATGGTGCTCCCTTGGAGTTGATGCCCTTGTCCAATGTGCAATGTGAACAACTGTACGCTAAGAAGGAAGCTGGGTGCTGTTACCTGGCGGGATGAGCAGGGAAATGCCCGTATCCTGGAGCATCAGGCAGCCACCGCGGTGGTCCACCTCTCGAGCCGAAAACACCAACAGCTTGTGCATCAGCTGTCGGATGACAGTCTGGCCTTGGGTGGGCGTGTGCAGTTCCTGGTAGAAGGCAGCCATCTCCTGCAGCAAGGCTGGGGGGCCCTCCCCGGAGGACTCACTTTCAGGTAGGGGAGTGGGATGGGACACTGGCTCCTCTTGGCTCTCCAGCTTCCAGCAGGTGCCCAGCAGCCGGCGAGGACAGCGCCATTGAAGGCACTGGGCCAGAAGGACAGCACTTGCCACTGGAACCCCCACCAGCAGTAGGAACTGGGCGGGTTGGAAGGAACTCTCATAGGAGCACATCCGCCTGGTCACTTGATGCTGCCAGTTCCCCTGCACCCCTGTGCCAGCCGAGGCCAAGGGCCTGGGGGGAAAGGAGGTCAGTGTCAGGTAAGCCTTTTCAGGGTCGTGGAGGCTAAGACTTGACTTCTAAGCGGCTGCAATGAGGGATCAAATTGTCTTCATCCCAGTGCACCCATACACCCCGTCAGACCAATTTCTTTAACAGAAATTAAAGAAATTAATTTCTTTATTAATTTCTCTCCCTCTCTCCCTCTCTCTCTTCCTTAAGAAACTGCCATGGCTCCCCACGACCTAGTACATCAAATTTCTCTCTCATGAGACAGAAAGAGCTTGGGTTTAGAGTTAGAGGATGTGAGTTCAAATGCCACCTTGGTCACTGTCTGAGTGAGCTTGTCCTACTGTTTAATGTGCCTCAGTTTCCTCATCTGTCAAAATAGCTCCCTTGATTTACATGGGCTGACATAGGAAAATCTTAAAGTAGAAAAGCAAGTCACAAACAGCTAGACATCCTCTGATCTCATTAATGTAAACAACAAAGCTATATACAACTGTAGATACATATTTATGGGTGTATAGATGTAAATGATAGAGAAAGGTCTGGAGCAGTGCTCTGTAATAAAAATATAACGTGAGCCACAGATGTGGCTTTCTTTTTAAACTTTCTAGGGGCCACATTAAAAAAGTAAAAAGAAACAGGAGAAATTCATTTTGATAATATATTTTATGTTACCCAATATATTCAAAATATTATCATGTCAACAGGTAATCAATATAAAATTACTGGGATATTTCACATTCTTTTTTCATACTAAGTGTTCGAAACCCATGTGTATTTTACACTCACAGCACATCGCAATTGGGATTCTCTTTACTTCAAGGACTCAGTAGCCACGTGTACTAGTGATTCCTGCCTTGGACGTGCAGGTCTGGGAGGACACACCCCAAACTATTCCCATTGGTCATTACTGAAAGATGAAAAATTGGGGGACTGGAAGGTGTGAAAGAGGACATTCTATTTTCCTAAACTCTTTTTTCTGTACTCTTTGAATCCCCCCACCAAGCGTGTCTGTATATTAACTTTGTAATTCTTTTAAAAAACGAATAAAAGTGAAAAAACAGCCTCTCAGAGTGATGGTGAAGATGGCATGAGATCATGTGGAAATCATTCTGTAGATGATAAAACCCTGTCCAAATATGTTTGTTTACTTATGCCCCTCCTTCTGCCAGAAAAGTTGGAGCGTAGTTCACAGGGATATGTAAAATACAAGAGTAACAAAAGTTAAAAGTGGAAGCAAAAAGAGAAAGAAAAGCAAAGGTGGGGCCCTCTGGTGAGGCTCACCCGGTTCCCAGCATCAGACTGGGGCCTTCCAGCAACTTTCCCGTGAAGATGTCAGCTCTTCCCCAGGCCCTCCAGAATCCACTGCCTCCCCCTCCTACTTTCCCTCTACCTCCCTTAATTTCCAACATCCCCACCCTCGGACAAGACCAGGCTCCTCACAGCTCATTAATTCTAGCCTCTGGACTTTGGTCCTGCTGTTCTTTGTTTCATGCTCTCCTCACCTGCCTCATCTACCTGCCTGGACCCCTCCTGCTCAGGAGTAACTGCCACCGGCCCCCACTCACCAGCCCTTGACAGTCTCGCCCTCTGAAATCTCTCACTGCTGCCTCCCACCATACTAAGTAACTCTTTCTGCTTTTTTTTTTTTTTTGTGGTACGCGGGCCTCTCACTGTTGTGGCCTCTCCCGTTGCGGACCACAGGCTCCGGCCCGGCAG